TGGAACATATAATGTTGGATATTGTTATGATGAAGGAATTGGAGTTGAAAAGGATGAACATAAGGCATTTATTTATTATCAAAAATCTGCTGATATGGGTGATTCTAGTGGAATACTTGCGCTTGGTAACTGTTATGAAAATGGAATTGGAGTTGAAAAGGATGAACATAAGGCATTTATTTATTATCAAAAATCAGCAGAGATGGGAAATGCTAGTGGAACATGTAATGTTGGACATTGTTATCTTAATGGAATTGGAGTTGAAGAGGACGAAGATATGGCATTCATTTATTATAAAAAATCTGCAGAGATTGGGAACGCTAGCGGAATGTGTCTAGTTGGGAATTTTTATCTTAAAGGAATTGGAGTTGAAAAGGACGAACGTAAGGCATTCATTTATTTTCAAAAATCTGCTAATATGGGTAATGTTAACGCGTTGAAGGAAGTTGGATATTGCTATCAAGAAGGAATTGGCGTCGAAAAGGATGAACATAAGGCTTTCATTTATTGGCAAAAATCTGCAGAGATGGGTGACGCCTGTGGAATATTTGCACTTGGTAACTGTTATCGAGATGGAATTGGAGTTGAAAAGGATAAACAGAAGGCATTCATCTATTATCAAAAATCCGCCGATATGAATTATGCTAATGGAGCATTTTTTGTTGGAGGTTCTTACTTATACGGAATTGGAGTTGAAAAGGATGAACAGAAGGCATTTATCTATTATCAAAAATCAGCAGAGTTGGGGAACGCTAATGGAACATATTGTGCTGGATGCTGCTATGAAGACGGAATTGGAGTTGAAAAGGATGAACATAAGGCATTCATTTATTATCAAAAATCTGCAGAGAAGGGAAGTTCCGAAGCGATGACAAGACTTGCTTATTGTTATAGAAACGGTAATGGGACACAAATGGACCTCAATAAAGCTAATTATTGGTTTCAAATGGAAAGAAATGAATTTATTAAAACAGAATCTAAAGATTTGGATATACCTAATGATATTAAGATATTATTAAATGAAGATAAATATCAATTGGTTTGGATCCCTTATCATGAATTCAAAAATATTATAAAAATTGGTAGTGGAGCTTTTGCAACTGTATATGTAGCAATTTATGAGAGAAGTAAAAAACTTAACCAAATCCCTGATATTTCTGATGAAAATGGATATGATAAAATAAACAAGAAAACTAGAGATTATCTTAAACAACACGGATTGTATCATAAAAACGAAACTATCGCTGTTGCACTTAAAAAAATAAATGGAGATGACTATCTAAATGAGGTATTTATTTTTATTTTGCTGTATTTGATTTTACTTATTATTTCTTTATTAAGATTTTTTTTTTTAAAAGTTAAGGTTGTACTGTGAGATCGGATCCGAAAACCCTTCTTTCATGAAATGTTATGGGATTTCACAAGATAAAGATGAAAAATACGTCCTTGTTTTAAGATTTGCAAAGAAAGGATCATTACGAAACAATCTTTTCGATGTGTCAAAAATGGGATGGAAACATAAACTGAACTTGTTATTAAATATTGTTCATGATCTCAAGGCGATTCACTCTCAAGCAATTATTCATCGAGATCTTCACAGCGGGAACATCTTGCAGGATGATTTATATAGCGCGTATATAGCAGACCTCGGTCTTTCGATTCAACACATGAAACAAAATGATGGACAACTTTATGGAATTTTACCATTTGTTGCGCCCGAAGTTTTGAACAAACAACCACCTCAGTATGCTCCAACGTCTGATATCTATTCTTTTGGGATGATCATGTGGGAAATATTACATGGTATACCGGTAACATATTTTTACAAATCAATTCAAGTAATTCAAATACTTGATGGGTTTCGACCACCCGTTGTTGAGAACGCGCCACAATGTTACGTGGATGTGATGGAAAGGTGTTGGGCTAAAGATCCAAACGAACGTCCATTCGCGGATGTGCTTTGTGAAGCTTTTAAGCGGTGGGAACGTGACGAGGAAATCCTTGAGGAATTGAACAGGTTTGATACGACTAAATCATTTTTAAATGAAGAACATGTAAACATATCAACTCGAGATGAATTGCAAAAAAAAATTGAAAGACTTTCAACCACACATATTCTTTCAAAGCTAAATCATTCGCAACTTATAATTTCACGTAGAAATGAAATAGTTGAATGTGGCACATGTAAAGATGATGAGAGAAATGATTCGCAAGAAATTTTTAATATACTCGAATAAATAATTTTTTTTATGAATTCTTTATAAGTTCATTATATTTAAATGATAGATTTTAAGATTGTAATTTTAAGTTTTGTAAGATTTTTAGATCAAATAAAAATAAAGAAATTTATTTTACGAGCATTATTCGCGGAAGAGCGAATATTTTTGAAGGAACCGGACAGTGGTGTGATCCGCAAATTTTGTGCGATCAGTACATTTTATGTGCAATCCGTTCAATCTGTTGAATTTGTTCAATCTGGTCAATCGTTCCGTAAACAGATTTATTTGCTTTGTTTGTCAAATATGCTCATCCTATACATAAACAGGAATTTAGTATATATGTTGCATCTAAAGTAGCGGTTTATCTAAAGTAGCTATCTTATATATCTAAAATAGCTACTTTAAATATATAAAGTAGCTACTTTAGATAAGTATCTGAAGTCTAAAATAGCTACTTTATATATATATATATACAGGTCACCCTCTTTAATATATTTGAATTTGTTTTAAATTATGTTGATAGTAATATTAATGAGAAATCATATTAAAGTTGATATATATGAGGGAATTTTGATATATAAAAATTTATAAAAATTTGTTTTGTGGTTTAGGTTGATATTAATGGGTTGATATTAACGAAGATGATCTGTATATATATATATATATTTCCTTTCTCGCTATCCAGAAGGTCCTTAGACACTTTTACGATCTGTCACATCTTTTAAAGGCCAGAGTTATCATTCTTGTGGAGATCAATGGATGACCGGATTGCCTCCGATTCTTCACCATACGCGTGAGATAGCACATGCTCTGTTAAGTCTGTTATAAGACGTTCCGGGTCTCTGGCTCAGCGGTGTAAGACCTACTATCTTCTTTTGGTCTGCAGTTCCCTAATTTCACATGACCCATTAGCCAGATCATCTTAATTCTATTAAACTTTAAACTGGGCTCCCTCAATGTTAGTGTCATTTGTTGATGGATTACGCTTTATCTGGTTATTAACGACTCTGTAACTATACTGGTAATTGCATTTTTTATATGAATCTTGTTTTTTTTTTAATAAAAATTTCACTCTGGCGAGTTATCATTGCCCTTTGAACTCGAACTCTTGATTTTGCAATTGTGTGTTAATCACTATGCTATTAACCTATGGATTATTTATATATTTAAAATAGTTATTTTAGATAGGTATTTGAAGTAACTATTTTAGATATCTAAAATAGTTATTTGATATATTTAAAATAAGAATTTTACTAAATTTATATGGGATATTTGAAACTTGGGTATAATTTATTTAAATCAAATCAATTTTTTATTAGAATAAAAAAATAAATTTAATTAATATTAGGGTTAGTATCAAGAATTAGAAAGGATATAGCTTATACTAAAATTTACAAGTGATTTTTTTCTTAGAACCTTAAAAATGATTTATAAATAAAATTTTAAGAATCATTAATTTTTGCAAAAATAGAATCTGTGCCCGGTTTGTGATCACGTGATGTAAATCACACGAAATTCAATGAATTTATACTTATGCCGGTAATACAAAATCCTAAAAGGGGGACGCTTAAAGCCAGGTCCATTACGAATTTAAATTAATGTTAAGGTTAGGGTCAGTTTAGGGCCTGTATGGGCTAATATTAAAAGGTTTCTATATGTAAAATCGTCCCCTCGACATTTTTTATTAATATACAAGATAGGTTTAGACATTGGTTTCTTGTATTTTTCGCATTTTGACTTTTTTTGCTTCGTTGGGCTGATTTGTGTAAACAAAAATTGGAAATTTTGATTGGTCATGCATAACGGGAGATCTCGTGATGGACCTGGCTTTAAGTGACCCCCTAAAAGGGAAACAACCAACAAACAAAATTGAAGATCCTATTAATAAATTCGAAAGTTTTCTAAAACTTCTAGCGATGATTTCTCAATACCTACTTGATCAAATCCGGTAAATTTTTTTTATTTTAATTCTATAGTTTGTTAGAGTCAAAATAAAAAAAAAGTTCATTAAATTTGATTTAATAGTTATCGAGGAATTATCGTTAAAGTGTTTTCAAAAACTTAAAACATCATCTCAAAGATTTCTCGACAACTATCCGAACTTGATGATTTTTTTATTTTAATTCAATGGGTTTATAGAATTAAAATAAAAAACAAAACAGAATTTGAATAGCTTGTTGTCAAGAAATATTCATTAAAGTTAAAAAAATTTTTGACCACAGCTTTTTTTTTTATAAATGCCTAAACTTTGAACAAAGATTACTCAGCACTTACCTGGTCAAATTCGATCAAAATTCTTTATTTTAATTCTATAAGCTCATAAAATTTAAATAAAAAATCGATCAAATTTGACCAGGCAAGTGCCGAGTAATCTTCGCTCAAAGTTTAGATGTCTTTAAAAAAGAAGCAAAATTTTTTTCACTTTTAATGAATGTTTCTTGATAATCAGCTTTCAAATTCAACCAAAAAATTTTTAATTTAATTTTATGAACCTATAGGATTAAAATTTTGGATAGAGAATTGCCGAGAAATCTTTGTTTAAAGTTATCGAATTTTTTCCTGATATTTTAATTTTTTTTAAAAAAAACTTTTAGTGATAATTTCTCAATAACTACTAAACCAAATTTAATGAACCTTTTTTTATTTTGATTCTAAAAAACTATAGAATTAAAATAAAAAAATTTTACTGGATTTGATTAAGTAGTCATTGAGAAATCATCGCTAGAAGTTTTAGAAACTTTTGAATTTATTAATAGGATCTTTAATTTTGTTTGTTGTTTCCTTTTTATGATTTTGTGTTAATGGCATAAGTATAAATTTATTGAATTTTGTGCGATTTACATCACATAATTACAAACCAGGCACAGATTCTATTTTCACTTAATTTTTGATTTTATTACCACTACTCAATTTTGTTAGTTTGTTTTTGCCTTTTATAGTTTTTATAGTTTGTAGTACATTTATATTTTTGGTCATCCTTGTATTGTATCTATTTGATTTTGACCATATGATTGTCAAAACAACTTTTTTGTAATTATATAAAAGGAAGGATCTACTTACTCTTTTTTTATATATACTTTGGTACTAGATACTATATGTAGATACTACATGTAGACTCTAGATACAGTATATTGATTGCTAAGTATTGGATACAAAAATTTTGACCATATTTATTATTTTTGAATGGTTGGTTTAATTTGTGAATAAGTATTTCTCAATTTTTTACATCTTTATCAGTCAACCGATTTGTCACACTTATTTGCATCGAAATTTTTTATATATAATATTATAACAAAAATATATAGAATTACTTATAAACTTTGAAGTTGTGATATTTCTTTCCTTACATATTAACTTTAAATTAAATTTTACGAATAAATACATCATAAAAAGGAAAATAAAATGCTTCTAAAGCTAAATTAAAATTTTGCAATTTTTGTACAATTTAAA